AGATTTAACAAAAGCTTTTCATGTTTAGTCACTGCAAAATTCTAAGCGCATCGACCTGTGTTTCAATCACTTTCAAACCATAAATTCACAAAGTCGTAGGATTGATTAAACCAATGGTTACAGGCAGATCATGCAAGCGATGGATCTGTCGAACAATTAATCAATAGGTGAAATCAATCATGCTTAACAATAGACTAGTTGCGACCACTGTTCTCATGAGACTGGTTACATGTTATGATTTTTTTCTACATGTCTGTAAAGTCTCCTTGGGGATAGGGAATCTCTGATTAAAAGAGAAGAAAAACCTTTGAACAACTGCACAGGCACGAGGTATTATGTTTAAGAAAGACACGATGTGAACATTTACAACTGTTCGTCGAGAAATATACACGTGTGGGAATGCCATTGAAAAGGTTAAATTATATACAGTCGAAATTATTGAAGTATTCCAAGACAGCCACCCAAATTCGAAGAGAAAAGTGGTTGTCTTAGACATGTAGACCTCTTACACAGTGTCAGTTTCATTATAACGGTAACAAATGCAAACGGGAAAAAGAATGGAAAGTGGCTGTTTGTACAGGTGATTGTCTTATATATAGGTGGCCGTTAGAGCAGGTTCGACTATACTTCTGCACGTTAAAACCACCACCTGCCCCAAACCCTTCTTATCTCCAAAAAGTATTCACAAGTAGACATAGCCCATCATGCATTGCTTGTTAGCTTCATAGACTCTTTGTGCGCATCCCACTACAGTCGAACCTGCCTTAACGGAAACTAATATAAAACGGAAACCTGTCTTAGGGGAATCTCCCCGCTCCCCCCTTGATATATTCCTCTTTAATTACCTGTATAAAACGGAAACATGTCCAACGCGGAAACGGAAAGAAAAATCCGCTCCCTTCGGAGGATTTCACCTGTCTAAGACGGAAAATGCTTTGCCCGCTCAGCCCTGATTTGAAACAAAACTCGCAAATTTGGTTCCGCTGGCTCTAAACTAACGCTATGGTCATGCGGCTGGCCGAGGAAGGGGAGTTGGGGTACAATTAGGGGGTAGATGTTACCCCATCATGTGAGCGATGCAGATGGTTAGTGCAGTGTGGGTGTGAAATCTCACGACTGCCTGTGAGAGTGCTCGAGTAGCGAGCCCCTACGGAAACCTTCCTGGGTCCAGAAGCCAGAGGTGTGAAATTAGATTCACCAATGCCTGCCGCCCTGATCGTACGGCCAGCCGAGAAAAGAGTTCCTTGAATCGTGTGGGTGGGGCTAAGGATGGAAGCAAGGGAGATGTTCAAACGTTTCTGTTTTTAATAGGTCAAACAGTGGTCGTATGAAAAGCAAGCACTGGTGGTAATTGGATAAGTAAGACTGACGTATGTCATTATCAGACAGGATAGCAATTGAAAGGTGTGAAGTTTTGACCACTCCTTGCCGATCGGACAAGCGATCCTTGATCCCACCGGTTGGGCCTTTGAACCCCCCCCCCCCAACCAACCTCCATCTTCCCTAAATTCCCCTGTCTCAAACGGAAAATGTCTAAGACGGAATTTTTTTCTGGCTCCCTTGCGATTCCGTCTTACACAGGTTCGACTGTAGTTAAATTAATTACGAGAACATTCGTTCTGGATAATATGGTAGTTAGGTGGTTAGGTTATCAGACTCGTAATTGTGAGATTGCGGATTTCGGGGCTCGAGGCTCAGCTTGACCAAACATTGTGTTCTTTGGAAAGGTACTTTACACAACTTTTCCCCACTTCCTCTAGGTGTGAATGGGTACTCGGCCATACACAGTGAAAGATCTTGTTGGTATGTTAGTGTAATAGCGCTGTAAAATAGAAGCTTGCACTGCTTACTTCTCAGGAAGTTGAAACTGTTGCAGAATGCCATAAGGTCTGGTGTAATGTTATAACTTGCAAGGCACAGAGATCTTGAATTTGCAAGACACAAATGTATTATCGTAATTACTATTCCTATTATTATTACATGTATTATTATTATTATTATTATTATTATTATTATTATTATTATTATTATTATTATTATTATTATTATATTAATCCTTCTTCTTCTTCTTCTTCTTCTTCTTCTTTTTCTTCTTCTTCTTCTTCTTCTTCTTCTTCTTCTTCTTCTTCTTCTTCTTCTTCTTCTTCTTCTTCTTCTTCTTCTTCTTCTTCTTCTTCTTCTTCTGTTTCTTCTTCTTCTTCTTCTTCTTCTTCTTCTTCTTCTTCTTCTTCTTCTTCTTCTTCTTCTTCTTCTTCTTCTTCTTCTTCTTCTTCTTCTTCTTCTTCTTCTTCTTTTTCTTCTTCTTCTTCTTCTTCTTCTTCTTCTTCTTCTTCTTCTTCTTCTTCTTCTTCTTCTTCTTCTTCTTCTTCTTCTTCTTCTTCTTCTTGAAAATAATAATAATAATAATAATAATAATAATAATAATAATAATAATAATAATAATAATATCATTATTATTATTATTATTATTATCCCTTTTTCAGTTTTGGATTAGATAGAAACAAAGAAATAAAACTATCATTACCCGGAGCGCACAGCGGAGTGACATACGTTATAACTTATAGGAACCTTGGGACAATACCCAAAAACTCGGCTGCTGCTGTCATGCTATGCTACAGTGTTGATAACCCTGGTTCGATTCTCCAAAGGGGGTTTTCTTTCTTGAACTTGATTTGTTTTCACCCCCCCCCCCCTCCCCCGTCCCTTTTGGTTTTTGGCATGGCCCAGTCGGAAAGATGCGCGTAGAATCCGGACGTCCATTCTCTTTATATAACCTTACCGCATTGAAAGGGCCATTAAAATGTACCATAGTAAAGCAAAGTTGTTCCCGCATCCGATCCGGACATTAGGGATTGCTTTGTTAGTGAAACCACTTCCTGGGCCTTCGGCTTATTGTGGTAGGGTGGCCTGTTCCTTTCCATGCCGCCTTTACTTCCCCAGCTCGAAGTCATTACTGCTGGGTGGGCAGGAGGGGGCGAAAAAAATCCGTGTCCGATCCGAGGCTCGAACCAGGACTTTCCGCTCCGGAGGCGAGCGCACTAACCGCTCCGTCACCGCACCCTCGTACCATAGTACCACAGTATATTACGACCAAGCTATAACACAAACAGTCGAACCTGCTCTAACGACCATTTGTCCAAGTTCTCCACGACAATCACCTTTAAAAACGACCACTTCCCACTTCCCTTTTGTGTGTGTGTGTGTGTGTGTGTGTGTGTGTGTGTGTGTGTGTGTGTGTGTGAGTGTGTGTGTGAGTGTGTGTGTGTGTGTGTGTGTTTATGTGTGTTCGTTTGTGTTGGTTTCTATTATAATCATACTATCTAAGACGTCCACCTGTTTAAAATAACCACTCTTCTTTTTCTACTGAAATCACAGAGATTGTTTCAAGCAGCGACGGGTCCTTTTTAAGAAACGTTCGGCTATCGCTGCTGCTCAAATTGCTGTTACCTTTCACTCTACAACTGGAACCGTTGACGTTGATGAAAGATCGATGAACGATTAGAATGAGGCGTTAATGAATCGGTAAATGATTGATACGGACTAATTGAGAATGTTCAGATCAATGGGAGTAAAAACGAGATCAACGAGGAAGAAGGTATTAGAGAGGAAACTTCCCCCTTCAAAAAACAAAAACGAAACAACAAATACAACATTAAAGAGAAAAAACCACAACAAAACAAAATAAAAAACCAAAAAAAAACCCCCAAACGTACACAAAAAAATCAACACAACAAAAACAAAACTCCATTACAAAAACAATTGATTGTACGGGGAATGAGGATAAAGATTATTTCGTATTTGTACAGCATCTAATGCTCCTGTGCCATTCCTTTTTTTTCTCCATACTAAATCAATTAAGGTTCACACAAAAGGAGATACACTTTCAATATTTGTAGATAATACAATGTGCCCAGCGCATAGACTTTTCTTTTCTTAAGAAAGTTATATTTTTATACTATGTAACACAAACTGTAAACCCATACATTATGATGAAAAGTACTTACACGGAAATAGATACAAGAATACATTTCTGTATATATACCAAAATAATATTATGCCAGTCGAAGAATAGTAAAAACACGCAACAGAGCTCTTTATGTTATCATATTATTACTTGTATGTTATATTGCTTTCATGCACACTCTTTGCTGATTGTGATTATAGTAACTTTTCGTACCACATGCTCAACCATCATGAGAAGGCTGTACTGGCACTTTAAGTTGTATAGATACTTACTCTGTGCTCTCTTGGTGTATACATACCAAATACATAATATTATTACACAGACCTATATCATATTAATATACTTCAGATACATGTATATTTGAAAACGCCAAAGGTAAATCCTACCCACATTGTTTTGATAATAAGCACACACATACAAATACGAGATACATGAATCGGAAATTCCCGTGGAAGTATTAGATCTGTGGGAATCTGTATCAAGACTTTGCATTCACTGCTGCTGCTGCTGCTGCTGCTGCTGCTGCTGCTGCTGCTGCTGCTGCTGCTGCTGCTGCTGCTGCTGCTGCTACTGCTGCTACTACTGCTACTATTGCTACAACAACAACAACTACTACTACTACTACTACTACTACTACTACTACTACTACTACTACTACTACTACTACTACTACTACTACTACTACTACTACTACTACTACTAGTTTTTCTTTTTGCTACTTACTACTACTACTACTACTACTACTACTACTACTACTACTACTACTACTACTACTACTACTACTACTACTACTACTACTACTACTACTACTACTACTACTTTTTGTTGTTCAACGTCCCTGCCAATATGTTTACGCGAAGATCCTACACATTTGATACGTGTCAAGGAGCCTTAATAGTAATAGTTATTATTAATCACAACATGCAAGGCGTACAAAGGCACTCAGAACAGAAAGCGTCCAGGACAACTCCAAGCATGCGATACAATTATAGGAGTTGGAATAGAATGTGGACAGAGTATGTGGAATGGAACGAACGGGAGAAGAATCCAAGTCTAGCCGACAGATTGGACACTGTTCGTCTTTCGCGGAACATGGACACTCGAGGGTTCTGGTCCCAGAAGTCTGTAGGGTACAAAATATTATGGTCCATCTTTCTGTCAGAATCATGTGGCTCAATAAAGAATATTGCCCAAAGTAAAAGGACAGTAAAGGTTCCAGAACTTGCTATTTGTTTGATTCACATAAAGGTCTCGTTCGTCGAAGTGTTTATTTGTTTGACTTTACCGCCGTACTTCACTGGAAACTTGCAGGTCAGTTTGACAGAAGGAGAGGGATTTCAGGGGTCTTTTTAAAGTAGATCTATTTTGTTGTTGTTGCTGTTGTTGCTTGGCCGGGTTCTCAATCGACACGAAAAAGATGTGTACAGAGCGGCATAGTAAGCACAAAAGAAAAAGCGGTGAAGAGCAAAATAGCATGCAGGTGGCATGTCATCAGTTGGGAATCTGACAAGGACGTACCGGTACCAACTGTTTTAAGAAGTGAGCAATAATACAAGCTGGACGTGTGGAAAACTACTGAAGTAAAGATACGTTATACGTGAGTGTACTAACATAATAAAGTGTTATCTTATCTTATCTTAAAAAATATGAAGCTGCTGATGTCGCTGTTGTGTTCTGTTGTTGGTGTTGTTGTTTACTGTTGTTGTTGGTGGTGGTAGTGGTGTTGTTCTTTTTGCTATTGATGCCGTTTTAACTAGAACCTAAACGAAAACTTAGGAGCAACTGTTGCTGCTGCTGCGGCTGCTGCTGCTACTGTTTCTGCTGAAACTGCTGTTGCTGTAGCTACAACTGGTTTTGCTGATGTTGATGGGAATGACAATGATGACGCTGATAGTGACGTTACATTGGCTCCATTTCATCTCGAGGGACCAGGGTCCTAATGCTTTTACTTTCATGACTTTTATTTTTTGCTGACGTTCATTGAATCAGAGTTGGATACGTCCTGTCGTTCTTGAGCTAGAGGCAAATTCTCCACACATGATGTCCCCAGGAATCGTTTCAACCCCCATCCTTCGGACATGTCCGAGCCCACGAAGTCTGCCTTGTCTAAGAAGAATGTAGGGGCCGACATACCGGTACTCTGGATACCAGCCTTCCGAGAACTTCATCTTTTGTGATTTTATCAGTCAATTTGGTATTGAAAATGCGCTTTTTTAAAGGTGAGGTCTACATGGAGTCCAACTTCACATCCACAGTAGACTGTTCAGAGTACGAACTTCTTGTATACTTTCGTGTTGGGTGTTACTGTTAATGTGTTATTTTCCTGCACTCTTTGTGTCAGTTTGGCAAAGTGAGGTTGTGCACATTCTTCCTGAGTACGTTTTGAGTTTGTTTTCTGTACAAACAATTATCATCTGCTACTGTGGTACCCAGGAATGTAAATTTTTCTTCAACATTCAGGATTTCATCACTGAGCCGCGTAGATGAAGGGGCTCTCACACCCCGAAATACAACGTGACAGTTTTCTCAATATTATTTCTCAGGTCGAACTCTGAGTACTCTGGCAAATTTGTCATAGAGGCGTTGAAGCCCTTGATCGGTTTTTGTTTTCAGTCTGAAGGGATTAAAAAGACCTCCTTCGGATCTGGGGTATACATAGATTGATTTTTTCTGTACTAAAGGTCCTTGCCACCGCCCCCCCCCCCCCCCAAAGTATCCTCGTTTGACACTGCTATGGATACTGCATGGTTTGAAGAAATCATCATGGAACTGAGTGATAATTTGCATGTTAGCATCAAAGAGCTGAGGAAATTTTATGTTTATTTTAATTTTATTTTTAAAAAGTTTTTTTGGGGGTGGGATGGGGGAGACTCTAATTATGGGCAGGATACCAGAAAGGCCACCCCGAATGCTTTTGTTATGTTTATATTAGAAACGACATAGAGGGGATATCTCTGTTCGCAGCATCTTTCCTGCAACTGCAGTTCACCTGCAGGATCTATTGTTTCTTCAAAGTGACAAACGAGTAGAACTTTACAACGATGCCCAAGAGTGAAACTCCTCCGTGGTAGTTACAGTTTGTTCATGTCTCCATTGTTCTTATAAAAAGTAATGATGATGTTGCTATTCTTAATTTTCACGAGGTACTTGTCCTTCCCATCATTGACAGAGGGTATCGGGAAATATTCAGCGAGAGTCCTCTTAGCACTATTGTTGTTACGGATGACATATACCTACACCCGGGGTTTTCCTTCTAAGTAGACGTCTCTTGCTTATTTCTGTCCTGGTAGTCAAAGAGGAGACGCAGTAGCCAAGAGAGTTACTCCAAAGAACGAGTACAGCTTTGCAATGGCAATGGCGATGATGATGTTGATACGTGTAATACTGTAATATGAAGTTTAATTAGGAAGCTCACTAAACTTTACGATTTCCTTTGGCGATTATATTGCTGACACGACACGTACACTCGCATGCATGTAGTAGAGGCTGATGTTGTATGCTTGGGGTTCTCAACCTTTTTGCTCCGCTTGCAAACTGACAGTGTTTTTATAAAGGGGGATTTACCACATACGTTTTTGTTAAGCAATTCGAGGTCAAACCTCTGGAATAACATTCTGGTTCAGTTACCTCCATATTTTAAAGTAATCAATTTAATATCTTTAAAAAAAAATGTTTCTGAAATAATATTATGGTTAGTAATCAATTAAGAATGAAAAAAAACCTACCACTTTCTTTGACCAACTTGTCCAATTGTCCAATTTGTTCTTAGATCTAGATCTAGATCTTTTTTCAAAAATTGTGAACATGCATTTATTGCTATAGTTTAGAGCTGACATTTACAGATTTTGTAATCTGAGTAAAAAACGAATGTAAACTCAATTTAATAATGTTCACAATTCCCATGACTTATGTAAGGTATGGAAATAAGACTAAATCAAGAGTCGTGAAATCCAAGCATAGGGCTGGAGAAATCTGTGGTCCGGGGCTAAGTTTAACCTTTCTCTGGTTGAGAACCCCCACTGTAAAATGTTGGAATTACATAGATGGGTACAGCTCCATACAGCCCACGGCAATCAACCAACTAGCCATAGAGTGGAGACGTCTAGGGTACAGCATATTGGAAACAAAGTGTGTATACTCGTGGTACAGTGCGTAGATAGGGGTCCAGTATTTTGGGCTGCAGCCACATCCACCAGCCACTTACGCCACGTGACAGTTTGCCAGGGAGCTGAGCGAGATGGGAGGGGTGGGGCGGGCGAGAGCAGTCTATAATGTTGTCGGTATACGTCGAGAGCTAGGGGAGATGGAGAGTGATCTGTTGTGAGCAAGGACGATATAAATTATTATTTCGTTGATTTTAAGGTTGTGGGTGAGAAGGACTGAAGGAAGTCAGCTGAGGAGAAGGGCGGGCAAGAGCAGACGAGAGTACTGTTGGCACACGCCGTGAAGAATGATCTATTATGGGTGACAAGGTATATAAATAATTATATTTGATTTATTCTAAGGTTCTTTGTTGTGCGCGAGAATGAAGGAAGTCAGCTAAGGGGAGGGGCGGGCGAGCGTAGTTGATAGTGTTGTTTGTACACATCGTGAGCTCGGGAAGATGGAGAGTGATGTGTTGATTCCCTCCCTGTAATGAGTCAAAATTTTAAAGGAAACTGTTTGACTGCGTCACATATTCATTGATCTTTTAAACTAAGATTGAGAAGTCACAGAGAATGATATCAAGAGACTAGCCCAAGATAGGGAAGGGTAACAAGTGTTTGTTCGTGGCCCACACACGGACGCAGGGAGAGAAAGGCAGTGATGATGATGGTGATGACGATACTAAGATTGTTTACCCGTTCAGTGGTTTCTGTGGTGAAACCAAAAGAAAAAAACACAAAAACCGCCACCCACACGAACTGCCATGCATGCTCTTTTAGTAAAAACAACAAAAAGCAAATAACAGACAGGGAGAGAAAGAATGCTCCGAGACACACTTCTACAACCATGATGAGACGCCGTCAGTAGCTGATTCACGACAAGTTTGCCAACAGCAGGGGACTCAAACTTGAATTGTGCGGAGAACGCTTGAAGTAGAGTCTGGGTGATCGTGGGCCGCATCAAGCATTCAACAAAGACAAAAGGTTTCAAGCATTTAAAAAAGTACACCTGATTGTTCTAATATTCTAAATCTTTATTAAAATCAGTTGAGAAGATGAACGCTTCTTCAGATCATAAGCTTTTCTTGCCTACTCCTTATTGCCAGAGACTTGCGGCGCTTTCTCTTATTATAGCGTAGCCATATTTGGCTTGAGGAAAGGCCACACTAACACCCAGCTTTGACCTTAAGTTGGGGCAGCAAAAAGTCGCGAGTTTGAGACCCCTGGCCTAGTATATAGAGCAAAAGCACCGAGGTTTATTAATCAAAAATAACGACAAGGAGGGTTACGGGAGTTCAAAGTAGGAAAAAACAGCAACTGGGTTGTTTGCTCGTTGTTGTTTATTTGGTACATGAGTTTGTTTGTTTGTTTGTTTATTTTGTTTGTTTTATTTGATGAACAACCACACCAGCAGCCACTTACGCCAGGTGACAGTTTGCCAAGAGGATGAGCGAGATGGGAGGGGAGGGGCGGGCGCGAGCACTTGATGGTGTTGTCGGTACGACAAGTCGGGGGGAGCTACGGGATAGAGAGACCGATCTGTTGCAAAGGAAAAGAAACAGTTGAGTCCAACTGACCGGTACCTGGTTACCACCACAAGAAAAAACCTGAAGATTGATCTTTTGTTTTACTTTCTTGTTTTTGCTTTACTTTTTGGAAAATGGGCGAGGGGAGGGGGGTACTGTTGTAATTGTGTAAGTCAAAGTGAGGTAGGCAAGTGTGCGATTTGAACTCAGCGTGGCTCACCGTGAAATGTTCAAGAGAATTACAGTTTGAGCGTCAAATATCACTTAAAAATAAGAATAGACCTATCTATGTTAGGTGTTGTTGCATAGCACCTGCGTCGTTACTTTTCCAAAAAAGTGAATGTTGTCTTTCTTTTGCCACATTCTGGAGTGGCTTTAAGTGTTATTATGGCGTTGGAGAGCACAGCGGATGGTTGATTATTAAGTCAAACTGATACATATTTCACTGCTTTAGAGATCAACATTTTATCAAAATTAGCTTTAATATGTGTCTATGCGATTTTCTGAAAAGATAGCAACGGAACGAATTGACCTACTTAACACACCAAACTGACAGTTACAAGAATTTTTCATGGATAACAGATAAAGGGTGTGAAAGAAACGACAATAGCATTATAATACGACAAGCTTCAGCAAAGAGAAAATGGAGGAAGCAAAGTTCAAATCGTGTTGTATTAACGGGAAAAAGCAAAGAAAATACATGTATCTAGAAAAAGCAATGAGATTGAAATGGGAACTGGGAACAGAGTTCCGTGACCGATAAGGAAGGAACAAGCTTGACGCTAGGTAGTTGTGATAACAGGACACAAAAAAAGAGGGAATAAATTATGAAGAAAAAGCAGAAAGACTGAAATAGCAACAATAATGCCTAGAAAGACCACGAGGAAAGGACAATAAATCTTATGTCAACTAGCATGACAGACTAACTGAAATCAAGGAAAAAGCTAGAGGACCCTCAGAGCTTACTGAAGACTGAGAACAGGGGATGTCCATAACCTCTTTTGCCAGACGGTATGATACCTGATGATCACCATGTGCTAAGATTGGTCTCAAAACGTCAGAGCAAAACAAGACAAAGCGATACACATTGATGGACTAATTTTACAAGACGTGGTTCATTGCGGAAAAAAAGTCCACAACCAGTCAATTAAAAAAAGAAGATTACACCTCTAACAAGAAATGCAAATTATTCTTTGTCGCCGATGGGTAAAGGGGCTTTGGTGGAAAGTGAATAAATAGCAGAAAAGGTGCTGCAAGAATGTGTAAAACAATAAGTATACTCTCTCTCTCTCTCTCTCTCTCTCTCTCTCTCTCTCTCTCTCTCTCTCTCTCTCTCTCTCTCTTTCTTACACACACACACTCTCTCTCTCACCCACAGACACACACACACACACACACACACACACACACACACACACACACACACACACACACACACACACACTCCGTCTCTCTGGTTGAAAGGGACCTGGGTGAACATTCAAAGGGAGTGAATAGCAGGAAACTAATAATACTCACAACTGAAAAGACAAAACATAAATGAACATGTCCACTCCGACGCTACATGGCTGCATGTCCTCTGCAGTCTCACACATCCAGTTTTCCTACAGTTTTACAAATCTACCCCATCAGCAGTACATAATTTTAATAAGTCAGAAAAGAACTAGCAGAAAGTAAACGATAACTCACCAGCTGCATCTGTCTTGCCTTTGATGCCCGGGAGTTGTGGGTGCTTGACAAACTTCGTCTTGGAGCGCTTGAACCCTCCCGGGGTCATGAAAGACGATTGGCTGTCTGTGCCATCAAGGGGAGGCAACTCATGAAGTAGACCAGACTGGGCTGTGGTACCCCCCAAGGGTCGTCTGTAAAAATTCTGCATGCTGGGTGGTGCTGATCCAGTGACTGGTTTTAGAAAAAAAAGAACGCACACATTGGAAACAAACCCTGAAAAGAAATATTTTTGCAAAATCTACAGTTATAGTTAACTTTTTTGAAGAGGCGCGTTCTTTATCATGTAGATTTTTCAACTCTGTTTTCTGTCCTTGAAAATTTCTAAGGCAATCAATAACACAGATACTATAAAATATGCAAATTCGGGCTTCTCATTTGTGTATAATGCTTCGAAATATGCCTTTAAATTTGGTCTGCTGCTAATCGAATTCAGACGACCGATACAATCGTTCGAAGGTTGAGGACCCGAGTTATTTTTAAAACTGATCCATCCCTACGTTCAAACTGTTGTACACCCTACAGCCTTCAACTAGTCAAGATATTTATCATAATATAATATATCTTTTCGACATCTAAAGCTGGTGGAAGTCTGATACATCAGTTCCGAGACGTGGAGGGTAAAAAAAAAGATCGAATATCTTTGTCTTTCTACTGGGATGTTGCGTCGATCTCATTCAGATCGGCCTGATGAATTTTGTCGACGAGGGTGTATTAAACTGCTACATTAAAACAAAAACGATGAGAAGAACATGTGGAAAGACATTATAATTATAATTTCTCACGGTCTCACTGAATGTACCGGCGTATTGTAAATGCCATTTAAAAAAATACATTATTATGCTGCCGAAAGAGCTGAACATAGTACTATTTATAACCTCTTTGCATGCCACCCTTTTTAAAAGGAGTACAGATGAAAAGTTGCCAAGAAGATGATTTTCTTTTTTCAGAATGTTAAGTATCCTCATCTTCTAGGTTCATAACTTGATTCTTGTTTTGGTGTGTTGGAATATAGTATTTAAAATGGAGTCCAATGCAGGCTTTAAAAGGACGCCTCTCAGCTTGTTCACTTTTTGCTGTAAGTGTGTGTCTGTATGTGCGTGTATGTGTGTGTGTGTGTGTGTGTGTGTGTGTGTG